TTACAACAATGTGCAGTCAAGCAATTTTACAAGTTTTCCGTGACACCGAAAATTAACAATAGGGTGATAGAACATATGAATGTGCTCAAGCCGCACTTCCAATTCACAGATAAATAGCAACAATGTCAGTAAATGAATCTATATGTCTATGTGTCACTAACTTAGTATGATTAGTTAGAAATGACACTGGTAACGTTTTCAGTGCTAATAAAAGGTTTATTGCTAGTGTATTTCTGTCAGCAAATATGTTATGCTGTACTTCCATAGTTCATGCGTTCATATTTGGTCTGTCATATAGGTATTTCCCTGACGGTCTCGCCATTTTAGTGGGAATGACTCCGCAATAAAGTGTACTATTATGCATCGTAAATGTACGATTCATGCATCATAGAAGCCTAGTACGCAAAAAATGGTCATGCTGATTTTGTTGTAATATCCAGCAATTTTGCTAAATTATATAGCCATTATAACAGGGACATTAGCTTGTTTTTGAAATGAAATCCGGCAGACACGTGGGACATGAGACTCGCTCAAAACATTGGCAAAGGTTCCGCAAGAAAACAAATACTTTGAATATGTATTCATTGAACATGAAAATAACTTCGAGTTCACTGCAGGCATTATTAATTCATTTTCGTGTCATATTTCTTCCGGCCCTAGCTCCTCAACGTTTTTAACGCATGTACTTTAGCACGTCGTGACAAGACATCTGTCCTTTTGGCAAGCAAACCACTCAAGCAGAGAATTTCAGGAAATACAGATAAAGACCAAACACGATCAACACTGACCCATAAAGAATACGCTGTGTAGTTCTTTAGTGATAGCACGCTGATAACCCAGTACCTCTTTGCATAGATACAATCAGCAACATGCAAATGCTCACTATCAGTTCACCACATCATACTCATAGACTACAAATAATCTGTGCATTTCCTTTAACGCGTTTTTCATTCCTATTAAAATGTGTGTCGGGTAAATATTGACAGCAAAAATCGGAATAATCGGAGTGATTACATATAATGGAATGGAAGTAAATTAAAAAAACATCGTGTTTATCAAGCCAGAATCAAAGGGCCTTTGGGGAAAATAAATACCAAAAGTGTAAAAATACCAATACCATCTCTTGAAACCTAGTCTTCCGAAATATCGTTTTGTAATGAACGATAGTAAAGTATGTATTTATTAATGTAGCCTATATTACAATATAAATTGGGGTTATTACCGTAGGCTATTTACTGGAGGGTCAGGATCCAATGGCGCAAGCGCACTTCGTGCAGTGACCCCATGGTCTAACATTGAACAACGTTTTCTTCTGCAAGAACTATACTCGGTGTTTTGGGGGCTTATAGGACGTTTCGATGCATATTAGACGCACCCCAAAATGCAGGGTCATAAGGTCATAAACTGAGAGAAACGGTTAACTGCCTAACCCTTCCACTCATAAGCAAGGCTGCATCCGTGTTTTTTTCTGCCCCATCTTTACATTTCATGTAACTAGGTGTGTAATATACCGTACCGTAAGGCCCTTGCTATAATAATGTCCGCTACATCAATCATCAGCTTATAGGATGCAAAATTATTACTGGAGACATTTCCTGAGAAAGAATACGCCGATATAAGCCGCTATATACGGTACATTCTAAAAATTCCCGATGAAATTGAATGGCAGTACGAAATATCCACGCTTGTCCGTCTCAACTGATGAGCTCTTATGAGAAATGCCAGGCGACCTACAGCACTGCAATGATGGGCTGTCTGTGACCACACACACACACACACACTCACAACTCGTTCAACATGTAATTGGTTTCAGCACGAGTCATTTAGCGTACATTCATCCCTAAAATTAGGTACATATTGGGTATTATAACCTCGTACATAGCTTTGATGATGCTTATTCGTTATGATTATAGCATTTCGTCTTCGCGGAATGCGGACGGCTGCAATGCATTATCTCAACGATTGTTTCGTATTGTAAACTGATTCAGTAAACGTCTGCATCAATATTTTCGTAAACCGTTAACGTATAAACCAACGCCGTTCGTTCCTAATTCCACCATACGTGTTGTCATCCTACCCGACTAGAAAAAAAAATCTGCTTTACTTCTTCAATACCTTTCCGGTTGTCGCAATACCAAAATTCAGCAGAAATGGGAAGGCGGCGTTAATATAACATCTTTTTAGTAGTAGACGTACTACATCTATAATGCGTATAGCATCCCATAATTTTCTCTGTACACGCGTGCATTTATCAAGATATATAGTTTCGTTAGAGTAAATGATTGCGCTATATAAAAGTCCACCTCTCCAATTTTCACCTTACCCGCCTATCACAGAAGACCACATAGCTATCTAAATGCCACCGCTGTACTGACAGAGTTCTATAGACCTATCAATGACACTATACACATTTTCTATCTTCCCAGCCTTCAGCTCGCCAGTCAGAGCTCCATTGCCTATATGTTGATGTTGTCTGTTCATGAATTTACCTTACTGATGAACCGTTACTACTACAACTTAACACTTCCCAATTGTGAAGATGTTTCGAATTCAGAAATTCGAAGAACAGATTTGCGTGTTGACAATTAAAGTCAGATCAATCGGTCTGACTGATGATAAAAACTAGTGGTTTCTCAAGGACATGCCACCACCAGCTACGCCGCCAGCATTAACTGCAGTCAGCTTTTTAACACCGAGCACAAAAGCTATTGCACAGCGAGTATCAGAACAAACGCGCTGCAAGTTTGCAGCAGACAACTTGCAGCAGACAGGCTTGCTATAGCATCGATCAGGAGTAACTCATCACAAACTTGTGATCATTCTCTCCTGCATCTATCCACGTGGACGACGGTGACGTCACAAATGTCTCAGTGCGCGTTCATGCTACAAGCGTGGCTGCCGATTATATTGTATAACAACCCAGGGGATCGCCCCCCCCCCCAGCTGCACATTATATACGCTACACTATAGTACGTCAATGGGTACATCTACCGCGAAAGTCACTGTTTACACATTGAAAGTGCTCGCGCTCGTCTTGAAGCTCCATTTAATTAAGCACACGAAAATAAATAACAGTAGTAAAATATAATTAAATGACACCGAGCGAATTTCTCTCTGAAAAATCTCCCATCATTGCATTTTTGAGCTTCCGCTATACAGGCTGTCAGACCCTCGCGCGTTGACAGCAATCTCGCAGGCAAATGCGATAAGCTGCGTTTGCAGCTTGGCAGGAAATGACAAATGGAAAGTAGAATTGAGCTGGGTGTAAGCGATTTCCCTAGCGGCTCGTGGTGACGGCTAGCAGCTAGCTACACGTGTGCGAGCGCGCGCGCGCGTACCACGAACACACACACCAGTCAAGTCGGCACGTCTCAATCCCTCCCGTGTTGTAGCACGTGTTGAAATCTCACTGCCGACATGCGATCTAGTTGCCGACCATGCAAGCAGGTTGTTGAGCGCAATGCAAGCGCGCGAAGACGCATTCAGTTAGCGTCCCAATAATACGCAGTCCCTATAGTAAAACCATGCTCGTTCATACTTGCCTTATGTAAGCAGCATCAATTGCCATGCACGTCTGTTCATGTGCGTGCGGCAAAATAATCTGTGCCCTAACCCCAACTGGCAACCTATCCGCCTCATGGCCTCATATAAGTACTCAACAACAGCCAATAAGGGACTAATATTATGAGCGGGCAGCGTGATTTTTTTTTCTAGGTCAATCAAGAACATAGGGCTCTAGTGAGCGCTGCTATTGGTTGAGCTTGTTTCGTCGCTCAATGACGTCACAGTGTCGTCATATTCATAGCACATCCAAAATTCATAATTGCAATATCCCTCAATAGCCTAGCGAGTACAGCACGCAATTCAAGTCTGAAGGGTCGGTGGATCGAATCCGATCCATTTTCTAATTATTTTCCTGTTTTCTGTATTTTTCTATCTTTATCCGTTTAACAATTTTTTTCCAATTAACGCAATGATTTATTTACATTTGAATAACAACAATTTATTTTAACAACAATTAAGAACAACAATTTAACAACAAACATGAACAACAAACAAACAACAAACAACAATTAATAACAACATGTTAATAACAACAATTAAACATTATATTTTTTATATATTTTTTTAAATAGGAGTTTGAGGCACGTGATTTGTATCAACCAATGGCAGCGCTCACTAGAGCCCTATGTTCTTGATTGACCTAGGAAAAAAAATCACGCGAGCGGGAAAGTCATATATGCGTGCTTTGATTCATTCACCGGGCGCCATGTTCTTTCCCTGCTGTAAATTTCGAAACATTTCACCCACACTACTAAACCCACCCGTCTTCAGACAATTCTTTGCCATCGATCTTCAGCATTCATGAAGCACAGCAGAGTTACAACGTGTAATGCTAAAACCTGATAAACCTATGATATCTCTAATTAGTGAGCAAAATTACGAGACACGAGGGCATAAAAACGCATGAAATTTCACGGCTATAGAAGAAATGTCACTGTAAGTGCATCACAGACGACTCTGCGACTGTGATGTATAGTAACTTTCAGCCAAGCTAAATGCGCCTACCATCGCATACGGGCGAACACAATTATATACGCAAGGCAATTAACATTTTATATATATTGTATATAGTTTTACATACAAAAGTAAATCTATTAGACTATCGTATTTAAACACCTTCATATCTTTTATGGCAAAATTACAGTATTGTATTCGGGTATCACCTAGGTTCTATGTTTAACGACTACGGAAACCCAGACAACAAGAATCTATTATTAGCTATTACACTCTAGCTATAGGTTCAAAATGCAGGCTGCCCTCGGAAAACACATTTAGATTCCTCTGCTGTTGATCACACTAAACCGGATCCACACTAACCTGCACTTAAAACGCACGCCAGCGGTATAGATCGAGAATAATCGATGAAACGCTGCAAGCAGCGACAAACATTACTATCTAACACGTCCTGAACGATAAATACGTCGAGAGAAACTCACCCCATTCTATCGGAGACATACGAATCATATCCACCATCGAACCACTCCACGGTATGTCTGCGATGGATGCTTCTCCACCAGTTTCTAGCGTTGGCTGTGACACAGTTAAGGATCAACGGGTGCTAATCAACGCTTGCACTGGGTGCATGATGTAAAGCAGGGCTTAATCATGTAAAAAGCAATAACTAGCCGGTAATAAGATGGGCAAAAACTTAAAACATAAACACACGCCCTTTGCAAAGGCAATCTCATTGGAACAGCAGGATAGATGGAATCTACACGTAAATATACTGTTAATTAATGCTGCTCGTACATCTAACCGATCATAAATCCGATGAATTAACTTGCCGCATAAGAAGCTGCATGGGTTATAAATGAGAAAATCCTCACGGTTTTAAGAACATTAATAAATTCTCGTTTATCCAAATGAGCTCGAAGATACGGAGAGTGAATTTTCTTGAAGACTTACTTGATTATAAGATCACACACGCACACCACGCAAACCCAAAAACTAGAGGATAGTTTGGAGACATCGCAAACTCACACACCAAAATATTAGGGCTTCCTGTACCGTCGTTCCAATGCGTCGCATTTTTGCGATTTACACGCATTTTCGATCAAGAATGAATACCAAGTTCTATGTCTAGACAGCTGCCGTCCTCAACCAACCAATCCATTCATTCCTCCATCTATTATGTATCAAAGACCACAGACATGATATTTCGAAAATGAAGTCATATGGAATTATTTGTCAAATACTTCCAGGAAATATGTTGTTATACCTATTCGCGGATACCCAACTACTTATCACTCCCAACTTAAAAATTAACTTGAAAATACTTGAAACTTGAAGTGATTACGTCATCGTAAATAGTAAAACTAAAATAAATATTTCCACTTTTTCACAAAATGTAAGTAATTCTGTTCACTTTTTATGGTTAAATTGCTGCATTATACTTCCTATTTTCCTATATTGTTTGATGTAAACATACGCTCGTGACTCATACATAGCCCATAGCAAGAAATTAATGTCAGGATAATAATATCAAATCGTCCAGGTTTTTTGGATTTTTAACTAGTTGAGAAACAGTTCTTATCTTATCAGGTAAGAATTTGACGATACATTTAGTCCCGTTAGTACGTATTTTTAATGTACAAAAATGGCAATTTTTTTTTTACAAATATCACCATAGAAAATTCGTGACGTAGTCAATTTAAATGTTATGCTGTTACAGTATAAAAATAGCAATTAAGCAGGCAATAATGCATGTATTTGAGAAGAGGTTTGATATACAATTCCAAGTTATGCATGAATTTATTTAATAGAAGTTTTATGCAGTAAGGGGCAGTTTCACCAGTTTGACAAGGGTGCATCACCACTAGGGGTGCTCCAGATCTTAGATTCGGCTGGAACACACCAGCTGGAACCCCAATTTTCGGCTGCGACCAGAACTCTTCATATACAGTCGACAGGAGCCAATCTTTTTACCAATTTCGTTTCTGTTACTAGAAACATCTTTATGGCAAGAAATTATAATTTTACCATCCTACTTCCTGTCTTATTAAACTGTCCCATAAATAAATAAAGTCACCCCATTAAGCAAGAATTTCTCTTGTACTGAAGGCAGATGACTGTCATACACCGAACAACCATCTTGTAATTAGAACTTTAAGCATCGTCTTAGTGGTCTGAGTGCTGACACTGCCCGCTAATGCTATTTCGTTTGGGTCAGGTAATTTTGCACTACATGGAGCCAAAAGTGTCATGTTTATTTCTAGCTAAAGTTCTTGTCCCAGCTAAAACATCAAAATTCGAACCCTGTTACCACCATTGTCTCACATCATGTGTCAATAGGTACACTGAGAGGGTTCCGCACAGGAAAACTCAAGAAACCGTCAGTCCTGCCAATGCGGCAGTTTAAACTCAATTCATCCTAAAATCCGTGTATAGATGTTACCAAGAGTAGATAATAACACAAGAGTGAGACACCCGATTCCCGCATTTTTAACCGATTTTTCTCATCAAAATTTGCCACCAATAAAGAAGCAAGTGTATACGTTCCTCAGCTTATTATGACCGCTAATCACTCACCTTCGTGGTACTGATATTCGTTTACATATATTTGCTAGCGTATTGCTGTAAATCGTAATCTTGCACGAGCTGAATTCGCACCATTTACCGCTATTGTGTGAAGTGTTAAGACAAATTTTGAAGCTATAGTGGCGCCAATATTTAGCAACGGACTGTTTCCAAATCATTCGTGCCCCGATAGGGGTTTAATGTACTTGATTACCTGCACGTGCGTAATGTGATACTTACTGCAAACTACTACAGAGAATATTGTTATTATTGTATTATTACTTATGTAAGATAGTATGTCAATTTCTTGTGTTGCGATCACAATAACTGAGTGCGTCTCGCGGTTCCTCACGAAATCAAAATTCGAAATTTAGAATGTCTGTCAACCCTATCGGGGCACGAATGATTTGGAAACAGTCCGTTGCTAAATATTGGCACCACTATAGCTTCAAAATTTGTCTTAACACCTCACACAATAGTGGTAAATGGTGCGAATTCAGCTCGTGCAAGATTACGATTTACAGCAATACGCTAGCAAATATATGTAAACGAATATCAGTACCACGAAGGTGAGTGATTATAGTGGTCATAATAAGCTGAGGAACGTATACACTTGCTTCTTTATTGGTGGCAAATTTTGATGAGAAAAATCGGTTAAAAATGCGGGATCGCTTCTTTATTGGTGGCAAATTTTGATGAGAAAAATCGGTTAAAAATGCGGGAATCGGGTGTCTCACTCTTGTGTTATTATCTACTCTTGATGTTACTGCGCTATTACTAATATCGACAGACATATAACTATTTTCAATAATTACCTTGTTAGAACCTTTATGAGTTTTAAGGCTTGGTATACACTGCATATGCAATTCAGTCCACATTAGTAGAACAACATACAATACGTTGATACAAACATTCACGTTCATATTTGAATACACACAGCAATGAGCATATAATGCAGACAGTACCTGAACGAAGGCCGAAAGGGCAATACGGGTATTGGAAGATGGAAGGTTGGCACTACCTAAGAGCACTCTTCACACTTTGACAAGGTGAAGTTTGTGATAGGATACAGACTGCCATCGTATGTCGACAAGGTCGGCGACGTGTTGCCTGCAGATGCTGTCGATGCTTGTATCATTGCTCATCAGCTTCAGAATCTTGGCCAGCGGGCAGCGTTCGACCTGATACGGGATTCTGGAACAGCGTGCATGCATTATTCACTGACGGTCAAGGATAACACAGTGTGCATGCAGCTCGGTGAACAGATCCGTGCAGACGATTGCGATGCAAGGCTGCACAAATATACGTTTGCGTAACCGGTCATGTTACGAAATTAAAACAAAAGTGGCACCTCCCCCCTTCCCACATGCACGCACGCACGCACGTACGCACGCACGCACACACGCAGCACGCACACGCACGCACGCACGCACGCACGCACGCACGCACGCACACACACACACAGCCACACTTTATGGATCATGGCTGCTCTAACTCCGCCAGAGCCGCTCTTCGCACCAGCTTCACAAGCAGCAGCTATTAGCTGTGACATCCAGCAGATTTGTCACAACTTTCTTGAGTCAAGGCCACAATTGTAACATCAAACGACAGCAGTTAGCAAATAGAGCAAGTGCAGGCAAAGAATTACAGGTGCAAGTAGTATGAGATATATACTAATTCAATTGTTTGCACGCAATGGCTCAATTGTAGTGCTGGTTTCGAATACATATATAAATGCAACTACCTGCTTGTTTCGTCTGCTTCAATGATCACACACTTGCTGTCACTGTAGTAAATCTCCATTTCATGGTCGGTTGTGTTGAGGATATCGAATACTAGATAGCACATGCAGGGTCTGCAAAGTTTTCCACACCATGTTAGACTGAGCAGTACACGTAATTTTTCTTCAAGTATTTTCATGGAAAAATATAAAAATCATACATTTTTATGTTCGTGTAGCAAATATAGCCATTCATTCCTACGACCAATATCAAGAAATCTACTTTCATTCGTTGCATCATATTTTAATTTTACGAAAGTGCTACACCGCAGAGAAATCTGGAGAATTTTGGCAAAGCCACGTTTTGACATATTATCGCCCAGGTTTCCTTCACAGCCAGCCTTCAGTCAAGTTAATCATCAACAATGATGTGTCATGCTAAAGCACTGCCAAGCTTTAAGAGGATTTTTACTTATCTACCTACAGCCCAGCCCAATACCTATACTATGACGACATATATACTACACTTCTTAGGAGACACGCCACAGATTGCTTCAAATTCTAATTGAACCTTTAAATATGTGCCAGCAGGTTGTGTGCTCACACTGGTGATCCTGAGCATACATGGTGGACAAGCCATGCTGACAAGAACGGCTTGAGCATAGCACATCTTTTACAAATTGCTCGTTAAATTGTTGCAGGAACCTCGCAGTCCCAAGAGGACACACTGCTGCGTTGTCGTCCATGCAAGCATCTGCCTAGTCGCCAAGCATGCGTCTGTCAAGGACATTCTTGCTGTATGCGCAAACATGGAGTCCTTAAGGAACATTCGGTCTATGTGCGCGCACGTATGCAGTTTCTTATAGGTATCGTTTTAAGATACCTGTGCAGGCATATACATGCATTCTACGTTTATATGCGCGCGCGGCCGTGTGCGCGTGCGTGCGTGCGTGTGTGCGCGCGTGTCTGTGTGTGCGTGCGTGCGTGCGTGAGTGTGTGTGTGTGTGTGTGTGTGTGTGTGTGTGTGTGTGTGCAGGGTGCGAAATTAACGGGAGTCCGGGGTCAAATACTCCCTGATTTACTGACGGACTCCTGATTTGACATATGCAGGAGTCCGTGTGACTCCCTGAAAATTCTGCCATACTAACTAGTTCGTTCCGGTGCACAGCCTCGTGGAATTGCCGTATTTTTTCAGCAAATGTCCAAAGAAAATTTGGCAGACGTGCAACCGCATGAATCTTCAAAATAAGCACATATGCGTTATTGTTAATATCTTTAATTTTGAACTTCAGGCTGCGGCTCCCTCATTTTGCCGCGGATTCCCTCTTTTTGAGGACAGCTAGGGCGTTGGACTCCCTTGTTCAAAAGTTCATTTCTACCCCTGTGTGTGTGCGCGCGCATGCGTGTGTGTGTGTGTGTGTGTGTGCGTGCGTGCGTGCGTGCGTGCGTGCGCGTGCGCGCGGATATGAATTCTCGTTGTACGTGTGTATGTGCGTTTGTAGACTCTAGTGTGTGTGGGACAAACCTGCTACATATAACCAGCAGTTATTAGTACTTATTTTATCAACAGTGTTACAGTTGGACAAACAAGACTGTAGGTCCACCATTATATTGCATCTCCACCCAACCTTGTGCTCACTTTTACAACACCTTCGGTATTTGGAATTCCCGTGCTCGTTTATGTGTACGAGGCACATCCACACGCAGCAACCAACACACGCACAGTTTCGCCAGCAGGTACCATAATTACGGGCACATCTACGCAAACACACGCACGCATGCACGCACGCACGCACGCACGCACACACGCTCGCACACACACACCTAACGTACACCACACATAATATGTAATACCATTCCAGTTAGTAATCGCACAAAGCAATAACGGAAAAGGGAGAAGTTGAAGATACGAATTTAAACACAGTGCAACAAAGAAAGATCCCTCTACAAGAGCTGAGATGGAGAGAAGATAGCACAAGAAAAAGATAGAAGGAGAGAACAATGACAACGAAGGAAAATTAGAAACGGAAGCAAAATTACACACATCCTCACTCCCTTGAGATTATCGACTAACAGTAACGATTCTTTACATTTCTGCCGGCAGAACGTCCCATTTTGTGAACAGCAGGGATGGCAGGACTTCAACGTGGAGGGAAACAGAACACTCCCTGTAGTACTGCCCGACCATGCCCGCTCCACCTGTGTACTCGAATTTGAGGATAGCCTCCACCGTCTGCAAATAAAGATAAACGTAGAGGCATTACTAATGTAGTATATGCACGTCTTAGGATTCTACTTTGTTTGTAGAAAAGCACACGTTTAAGTGTATTATATATACTTATCGATTTGTTTTACTTTACAACGTGCTTGATATGTAGAGTACAGTAATTTAGAATTAGATCAAAAGATACAACTCCTGATTTCCAAAACGGGATTATGGACCGACACAAATTTATTACAGAAAATTATTAGAAGCTTTGCCTTAATAACTTCACATATAATTATATTACCTAACATGATTATAATATATTATTAGTAAAGTCACCAACATACACGAACGTTACAACGTAATGCAGAAAGTGCATAACGATGCAATCGTAAACATGTAACTATAGTTTCCATATTATACTTGATTACAGAAAACACACATACAATGTCTAATGTTAATTTCGAGTTTTCATGTTCATGTTCACCTACATGTTAGATGATAAAATACAAGTTTCGAACAAAACTGTATAAACCATCCACATTACATAATGCAGCCAATAAATAAAAAATATATATATGTATTATCTGCGTGCGCGGATGCGTGCGTGCGTGCGTGCGCGCGTGTAAGAACCTCGGAATCTGCATAACGTACAGAAACTGACAAAATATATTTGCGGTGTCATATAATTGCACCGACTATAGTCCATGTTCCCCCAAGCGTTTATAATTGGATATAGCTACATAAATCATACATAAAGCCATTCGCCATGCGAGGAGAGGCGCGTGTGACAGATTCCCTCATTAAAAAGGGAAGGAATTGCTATATTTTCTCTTCATCACAAGCGATTGCTTAATAGCTAGCCTCCCCGCCTATTGAATGAAGAACTTCAATATTGTCTGCAGTTAGCATGATATTTTATCACCCCCATTTTTCTGCAGAAGATTAAATTCATTATGTCTGACACATCGTAAAAATCTGCAGGCATCTCCTAATACCCGTGGAGACATCCCGACTCAGCTAATTATAATATATGGGCTAAAATGCCCATCTGCATGTAACCAACATAAAAATTCGTCGACACTTAAATCAATGTAAATCTGTAATATCTTCCCCTTGAAATCATTGGCTGGTGCAGAAATGTGTAGAGCGTACTCACACACTCACTGAATCGGTCTTCTAAGCACCAACTCTCTGTCAATACTAGTAATTCCATTCCATCATCATAATGTAGAGAGTGGAAAGTCCACAACTACGAGCGGTAATACGAAATGAATGGTATCCAGGAATTATCAAATAAGGCCTGGCTGCTTGTTACCTTGCTGTAGGAAATGTGTTGCCTTTGTTGTACTCGCTGGTGTGGACCTTTTCAATTGTAGTCATCAAGCTTAATATAGGTGGCGCGCGTGTTTTAGGAGCCATACTCCAGTACTACAGCGGTCATTATTACCAAATAAAAAAACTATACTAATTTCTCCCTTGAAGAGGGAGGAAGAATCACGTAGAGATAAAGCACATCATCAAGCGTCGAAGAATCTGATTTTACATCTGCTTGCTGAAAGGTATAACAGAGTAACATCGTTTTTTGACGCTAAACTAATTTTGAGCTGTACTCGGTGAGCGTGAAATCAAGCTTTTGTTTGACCACTTCCGGATGCTTTTCCATGGTCCTTTGACGATGTCACGTAACAAGGGTGCAAGAAAATCCAACGACCCCTTTTGTGGAAATGAAATGTCAACGATAGTTAAAAGTTCAGACCGGTCAAGCAAGGTCAAACACCAAGCTTTGGCTGTGATTAGTAGTAGTTACAAGCTGAGATTGGTCACGCTTTCCCAGTGTAATCTTCAAGCTTTCGACTGCTTAGTTACACTAAAAACTGGCTGACAGGCTATAGAAATAAATCGCAGATCTTTCCTTTAAGTGTAGAGTGAGGCTTTTCTAATAGGTTTTGTGAGTATCACCCTCCCAACCAGCAACAGGCACAAGACTGGAGTTTGCCCTCTCTCCTGGCATCGAGATGCATGCAGTTATAGTTGCACACCAAACACGCAGTTTTACTGTACTCACACGTACAACCGAACTTAACACGCTCTCTATCCGCTATCTCTGATTTCGACAACATACTAGGTAAAAATCAATAATTTACAACAACTTTTGCGCTTGAATGAGACAAGGAAAACATCCAATTTGTGCAACTTCGCTTCATTAAGATAGTAAAATTTTAACCAAGGTCACTGAACACAACTACCTCCTAAACCCCCTTAGACTCAGTTCGTTAATTATACATGAAATCAAAACCGCAATACTTATGGGTTTTTTTTCGTGAAAGTTGAGCAAATGTTCGTACGCCTCCTTGCTTCTCATGCATTAACAATGAATGCATTTGTGAGGTCCTGTTACATATGCTAACAGTAAATCCCAGGTTGCTACTAGAGTACCCCCAAACGAACACACAGTTGCAATTCTGCACCCAACTCACGCAGACACAGGCACGTGCACAGGGTATATAAAAGCGCGCGTACACAGGCACAGACATACACACCCACAGACACAGACATACACACCCACAGACACAGACACACTCACGCTAGCATGCACGCACAAACGCACGCACAAACGCGAAAATTGGTACAATGTGAAATCACTTTCGTTAGTACACAGTGTTGTAAGTCTCTATTAAATAATAAATATGGGATGTACTTTTTCACTTTGATAATGGTTAATAAATATAGGTATGGCTAATGAGGTCTGATTTCAGTTATGGTATAATTAACTGATTAATTGGGTGCTTATTAGGAGCACCGCTACATGTTGTTACTGGCTCATGTTTAGCATAGTTTTGAGTATGATTGTACTAATTATAATCAACACAACCTCGTTGATAAGCAAAATTTCTGTTAGCCCGTTAACGTCGGCAATATCAATTTATTGAGATTCATTCACTCTTCATTTATGGAGTGAATTAGAATTTGTACGTTGTGAACACTGCCTTGAATAAAAATGTTGAATTGCCATCGGACACAAATACAAAAACACTGTCCCATAGTACTTACTACACGATGCACGCACACGCACGCACGCACGCACGCACGCACGCACGCACGCACGCCCGCACGCGCACACACAAAACATTACTAACTGTTGCTAAGGCACAATGGGCATTTTTATATACATATAGGGAGAGCTAGATGCATTACGCGACAGCGACGATGAAACACCAGCAAATGTGATTGGGAGAAATGATCAAATTTGTCCATTTTTCATTTTTTTATTATCCAATGGCCAATTTATGTAAAATTTTGTTAGCTGCCTCAGAACTCAACGTCTCACCTCTACTGAACTTGTCATGCTTCACATTTCAAAAATTCCTATTAAATCAAATTCATCATAACGTGAAATATTTAATTTATGTGGAATACACACACAAATACACAAATATTCTCCTTGTAGTATAGTTAAGCAACTGGTGGAAAATATAACATGAGATTCCCTGCTTACAAGCTTTCGCAGGACTAACCTCTCTACGCCCCACCAATCAAATTGGCTTCGTTCTTACTGATTTTCTTTTGCTAGTATTTTTTGCCGTCTCCGGAAATTATGACCTTACCAGAATAAAAGGTACAGTGACACGAACATACACATTTCGACCTTTCTTTTTGTAGTATAATTAAGAGTGCACAAGGAAAAAATACTGAATGATCAAATATATGTTTAACTTTAATTAGTACAGGTATCAACTTCTGCTGTTCAATATTAATGATAAATAACTAAAACCCTATTTTTAAAACTGGTTTTCACTAAGACCGATGAATTCTATGACGAGACAATAATAGTCAATAATAGACGAGTCTATAGCGACTATAAGTGAGATCGGGAAGTCCAGCTGTGCTATGTAGGTCACAGAATAATACCCCCGTCAGACCGGGGTGGCGTCCTTACTGCGCTGCTACGGCGACGGAAAATGGGCCCATGCAGAGCGCGCCAAGGTCGCCATAAGCGTGGTATAAGCGTGGTGGAAACGCCAGACATCGTGGTGTGGTCGCCATGGTCGCCATGGTCGCCAATGATCGCCGAGTCACGGCGTTTGTTTTGGGTGTTGCTATCCCCCGGGCGTGGAGGGAGGTCACGTGATAACGTTGACGATGACGTTCAAAACGTTAACCCTAACGTTAACCCTCACTCCAACACCGCCAACACTAACCTTCACACTAAATATATATAATATGTGTCGCCGCGCTATATATAGGCAGTGTTATCCACAAAAATTAATCTATGGTGTGGGGACAGATATCATGATGCAAAAACCCTAACCCTAACCCTAATCCTAACCCTAACCCTAACCCTAATCCTAACCCTAACCCTAATCCTAACCCTAACCCTAACCCTAACCCTAACCTTAACCCTAATCCTGACC